CTACTACTACTAATAATAATAATAATAATAATAGTAATAATATTGATAATAATAATATTAATAATAATAATAATAATAATAATAATAATAATAATAATAATAATAGTAATAATATTGATAATAATAATAATAATAATAATATTAATAATAATAATAATAATATTAATAATAATAATGAATTCTTCCGAATTTTTTTACCCTCTTTGGTAAAAAAAGTACAATTGAAAATTCCTAAATATAAACAATAGCCAAATCATAGTTAAATTAATTTAATATGGTCTGTTTTAGGTGCTTTACACCTTTTTATTGCTCATTTTTATTTCAGAAATAAGGTTCAAGATTTGGAATAAAAGTTACCTGTAAACTGTTTTATCTGTTCATAAACAATACAGCAGTGAAAGAAGATTTCTCTTACATCAGATTATAGTCAGATTATAGTATAAGCAACAGGCGACAAATGATTCCGTTGGCCTTAAAGCCTTTTTCGATGGGTTATTTTCATTATTATTACGAAAACATACTAAAACGAGAGCGGCGTTCAAAAGAGGATGTGTTGTTTTGCTCCATGGGAGGCAGCATCTGTTGTCTCGTTCCACAAAAGGAACCAAACTTCAGTCGCGCACAGACAAACTGTAAACAAAGCAGCATTTAGTATCATCATCACAGTAATTGTCACTCACCACGGAGGGATTCTCTCCTGCAAACATGTCTGTTAATCTAATAATCCACATCATTTGCAAATATTTGAGAAATGTAGTGAAATACAGCTGGCCTCTTTGTGCTCCTTATTGAGTTGACTTTCACATACACTTCACTGCATCACACTCCCGATCTGATTTGCTGCTGAATAACCAATCAGAGCGCTCTCTTCAGCTGATTCTACATGCTGAATCAAGCCCATAAGGCAGTGGTCACCAAACTTGTTCCTGGAGGGCCGGTGTCCTGCAGATTTTAGCTCCAGCCCTAATCAAACACACCTGAACAAGCTAATCAAGCTCTTACTTTGTATACTTGAAACATCCAGGCAGGTGTGTTGAAGCCAGTTGGAGCTAAACCCTGCAGGGACACCGGCCCTCCAGGACTGAGATTGGTGACCCCTGCCATAAGGCGACATGTGGACCAAACCAAAACAACTAGCTGAGCTGACGCTGACTAAAGAAGCCAAACATCCGGCCATCAGCTTGGTGTGTTCCGGCCCTTTTTGCTTCTACGCCATCCGCTTTAGACTTTGTGCTTAAATGGTTAAAATAAAGCCCTCAGTGTGGTGCATCTCACCTGAGCTCCGACACTCAGGACATTCATCCTAATTAAACATAATCAATCTATTACCGTCTAATGCAGTGCGGTGAGGAAAAGCCATTACCGTGGTGGCCTCGCAAACATGCGTTATTGGTGACAAATGTTTCATCTCCGCCATTACGCCTGAAGACACAGACTCCATCAGTTATGAGCACTCTTGTTTGGCTTCAGCTTTCTGAACTTCCTAATGCGACGTGATATTTAGCTTCATTCTCTACCGACTGCTACGTGACGTTGTTATCGGTGCATTAGCATTACCGTAAGTGGATTTGATCAATTTGGTGCCCGAAATAACGCCGCTGATATGTTCTCGCTGTTAAATGTGCATTGCTGAGTTAATAAAGATTTTTTTTTTTGTCAAGGCAGCATTGCATTTAACATGCCTTCCAGCCAAGAGAGACATTCGGCATATTCATTAGCATCTCATTACAGTTCAGATTTACGTCTGTGTGTTTATGGAGAGAAAAGACTGTTAAATAAGCCTTCTGCAGGTCATCGAGAGGGGATTACTGCAAAATGTTTTTGTACACATGGCATTTTAATGGAAAGAAAAACTATTTCTGAAAGACAAAAAAAAAACTGTAGAAATGATGGCTAGAAATATCAGGGAAGCTAGTTTTACAAAACATAGGAGTGAATGCATTAATGTCAGCTATTGCGCCTATTATTCCCTCTAAGTCTAGGGGAAAACAACATGGACATTAGAGTTGCACAATTAATCGTTAAAAGATCGCGATCTCTATTCGACCCCCTAGACCACAGGTGTCAAACTCAGTTCCAAAAGGGCCGCAGCTCTGCACAGTTTAGTTCCAACCCTAATTAAACACACCTGATCAAACTAATTGAGTCCTTCAGGCTTGTTTGAAACCTACAGGTAAGTGTGTTGGAGCAGGGTTGGAACTAAACTGTGCAGGGCTTCGGCCCTCCAGGAATTGAGTTTGACACCCCTGCCCTAGACAATCTTAATCCAGCATTTCTACGATTCTGCCAATCATATTTTCAAGTTCAGGAGAGAAGAAAAGGCGGCTGCAGTAGAGTCATTTTATTGTTTCACACACGTTGCTCAGTGACATTAACACTTCCAAATGATGTTGAATGAGTCACATACTGTATTTATAATAGGGCTGTAACGATACACCAAACCCATGATTCGGTTCGTATCACGATTTATTATTTTTTTTGTGTGGGGTGGGGAAAAAAAAAGATTTTTAAAACTATTTTTTATTAAATAACATTTGAAAAATCTTTATAAACTAAACATCAAAGAACAATATTAACTATGCAAATTATTAACAATATAAATAGCCATATATACAATAAATAAATAGCCAAAGCTATATCACTTCTGTTTTCTTTGTAATAAAATACTGTTAAAAAACCAAACAGAACTAAACTCCATTGTGTAGATGGTTCAAGCATGTTGAAAAACTTTTTCAATCAAGTTCTCTTACATAGAAAAAGTAAATTAAATAGCTACTAGGGATGCTCATTTTGTTAATTTTGCTAACCGACAACCGCCGCTCATTAATCGGTTATTACCGGTTAGCTGGTCAGATTACTAATAATTTTATATTAAACAAATTGACGTGTCTATTTTGTGTCTGACACATTAAATATTGCATTTTAAAATACTGATTTATTTTTATATGTTAGAATATTAATAGCGGAACAGAACAACAGAGTATTTCCACGTACCTGCAGTGTTTAGCACAGAAGAGCAGAATAATCTAAATAAAATGAATAAAATAAATAGGACTGCCCTAAATTATTTTCTCTTAAATAATTAATTTATATTACAAAACGAAAATACTGACTGATTCTTTTTAATAACCGGCATATAGGCTTTTTTTCCAATCATATGTTTTTTTCTTCCGTCAAATAAAAATCGCAGACTTCCTCAAATTGCTCGCTTCACGGAAAATATGCATTTATTTAATGCCCCGCTGTTATTATTATAATCACAAAACCTTTTACATTTTAATAGAAATCATTATTTTAAAGATTATGTCCTGATATAGCCTATGCTTTCCTCTCTCTCCCTCGCGGTTCAAGTGCGCCCGCTGCATGATGAAAAGACAGCAACAATGCGCTCATATGTAGACTTTTTGTAAACATTTTTGTTGTTTAAATATGATATTGCATTAATCTGCGTACATGCTTTATAAGCTGTAAAATAAAAAGTAAAGCCTATTTGTTGCGTTTATTACGCAGATCCAGGTCAACATAAGCGCTGGTTAAGCAACAGGTCTGTATCAAACAGCAATATTCTTCTTCCATTTTGCTTTTTTGGCAAATGTGTCTGTAGGCACGGGTTATACGTTATCGTCCCGCAAATTAAGTATGCCTTGCAGTTAAACAAGGGGCGAAAACGAGGCGCACCTCACTGCCTTTATGTTGACAAGGAAAAAAGAAGAGGCACGGTCCTCTTATAAACGACTGAATCAGCTGGGTATCGATTGTGCAAAAGTGTTGCTGTCTGTGTTGTTACAATAGTAATATTTAATACTATTGTGATATTCAAGATTTGTATATTCATACAGCTCTGGATAACTTAAAACAGCGATTAGACCATCAGAGCGGTGTTAATGTGTCCTTTAGTAAAGCGAAACGGCTATAAACTCCAGCAAGATAGAGTGATTGTATGCAGAACCATATACCTTTATCTCTAAATAAAGTATAACTATAGAAACTGTGTTCATCTTAACTGAAAGCTTCGTCGTGTTTTCTGACCTCACACATCGCACCTGTCAGTCAGCACTGTCAAAGGTTCAAACAGAAATCGCACAGCACGGTTACAGAAAAGTTTGCGCTGTTACCTGACATCTGGTGAACGCCCATCCCTCTCTGCGCAGCCACATTAACAGTGTGAGCAAATCATTGTATATGCGCTGAAACTCCGGCCGCTTTGACAGCATTGGCAATGTTTCTGGCATTGTCTGTTGTCAAACGAGGTTAAGTTGGTTTTGTTTTTGATATTCTTGACACATTCAGACAGTCCCTTACTAAGAGCTCCGTGCGAGCTCTCCCGGCTAAATATTGCTAAACGGAGCAGTGCTTGTAATGTCGAACGAAAAAAAGTGTTAATTAGCTCAACTTTTGCAGGCACGCGTGACGTTATTGGAAAGGTATCACGGGGTGTGTCGCGATTCTCCCTTATCACACCGCGACACAGGATCATAGATCTGAGTTTCGCAATTTCGATTTTTATCGTGTATCGTTACAGCCCTAATTTATAAGGTATAATTCACCTAAAAATGTCATTTTTGTTTTAATATAATGATGTTTTCGCGATCGGGAAATCACACGTGACATGAGCTGCTGACCGTGAGCTGTTATCACCGAGAGGAGTCTACTTCAGTGAACAGAACCTGCATATGTTGCGAGTAACAGGTAATAAAGTTGTAAATAATATTCAGTTTGTGGCACAGAGTGATCGTTTGGGAGCCCCACACGAAGTATGAACAAGCACTTAGCAGTCAGAATGAAACCGAAAGTGTACACGTCATTTAAATGGTCATATCGCATTTTAGAGTTATGATTACGACAAGCATTTGATGTTTTTTCTTTCATAGCGAACACACAGTTGTGCATGAAAATAAATGTTTACAATGTTAGTATAACTACTCTAGCCTATATATTGTTGAATATAATCTGATAATGGCAAATGTCTGATTTTACCAGTGAATTAAATCGTCTAATATGACAGATTGCAAGCATATATCTCAAACATAATAATTCAACATCAGAATTATTATAAGAAGAATAGAATTATTTATAGAAACCAGTAGACCTACACATAATATTATTATGGATGTTGTGCCATGTGTTTGTTTTTACCATTCCTTTATTTTACATCTACAGAATCGTGAGAAAATTGTGATCTTTATTTTAGGCAAAAAAATCTATATTCTCATTTTAGCCAGAATCGTGCAGCTCTAATGGACATAATAAACAGAAAAACACATGTGTTGGGGTGGTGGATATCCCAAACAAAACAAAACTTAATGCAAAAGATCCCCAGTCGACAACCAAACTCGGACATTTACTTGAGGGTAATTGAACAAATTTATTATAGAAAGTAGTAGTTTTAAATGAGCATCTCTTCAGGGTGGCCACTGGCCAAAATAACAAACAAAAGAATCTGTAAAGTAAATGAACTTAATTACATCTAAATATTCAAAGGAAAATACAGGAAGCTTACCTTTCTCCCTAAACATAAACACTGTCAAAAGTAATCGAATAAATAGGCAGGCCACCCGCACATGCTCAAACTCTCAAAAGAAGTTGAACGGATGGACAGTGTTAACAAGATTGAACATTGGTTGTCAGCTGGAAGGGATAAGGAAATCCAGGAGCTCCACTCCCAGCAGCCATCGCAGCACAAGTGAGCTCCTCGAACCCTGCGGGAAGCTCCTTTTTGTACAGGCCTTCGAGATTTGGAAATAACTCAGGTTTTTGACCACACTTGGTCATTATTGTTCATTTATTCATTTGCTGGAAATTAGAACTGAATTTAGAAATAGTTTTGAAACAAATCTTTGCGCTTAACAAACGAAAGTAATTATTTATAGGCTAATTGATGTCTGTGCGTAAAGGTTTCCCTATCCAAGAGCGAAAGTGAAAGTAGATCCATTATCTCTCATTCTCACGCAGTAGATGCTCTGTTTAACCTTTTGCCTGTGAAATGCTCATTTTTTCCACTTAGACTTACTTTGCGTCCTGTAAATAGCGAGTGCGCTCTTGGCGCGACGCAGCTGGGTCTTAAAGGGAATGTGAGATGAGACTGTAATTGGTTTATTCTCAAAACACACCTATAACTCATTAAGAAAATAAACTCAAACCTTTTAGACCATGCGCCACGGCGCAAAGCGCATTTTCCCGTCCGTAAATTAGCAAAAATGCGTTTTGGCACGCCCTAAAAGCGTTTGCGCCCTGCGTTTTGCGCTCTGCGCATGGACCGTCAAAATAGAGCCCTAAATATGTCATCTTTAGCTGGCAGCTAGCTCTCTGCAACATTGAAGCTAAGCAGGGCTGCGCCCGGTCAGTACCTGGACGGGAGACCAGATGGGAAAGCTAGATTGCTGCAGGAAGTGGTTTTAGTTACACCAGCAGGCAGCGCTTACCTGTGGTCTATGTGGGTCCTAACGCCCCAGTATAGTGCAGGGGACTCTATACTGCTCAGTAAGCGCCGTCTTCCAGATGAGTCGTTAATCCGAGGTCCCGACTCTCTGTGATTGTTAAAAATCCCAGGATGTCCTTCGAAAAAAGAGCAAGGGTTTAACCCCGGCATTCTGGCCAAACGTGCTTACTCGCCTCTGTCCATCATGATCTCCTAACTATCCTCATATTATAATTAGCTTCATCACTCTCTCCTCTCCACCAATCAGCTGGTGTGGTATGTGGTCTGGTGCAATATAGCTGCCGTTGTGTCATCCAGGTGGATGCTGCGCACTGTTGGTGGATGAGGAGATTCCATCTATGTGTAAAGTGCTTTGAGTGTCTAGAAAAACAGTATATATAAATTTAAGGAATTATTATGTTTATTTTGAAATGTGTCTGATATTTTACATTGCATAATTTGTACTTTTATTTGTTTAATTAATTAATTAGTTTTAAAGAGTTATAAAAAATGATCTGTGTTATTTTGAGCTGAAATTATTTTGAGATGCAAAATAAACTTCACATACACACTAGAGACATTTGAAACCTATTTTACATCTTGTTAAAAGAGGCAGAAAATGTTTCCTTTAATGGCAATGCATAAAGTTAAAGAAACTTAAACATCTCATTTACATAGTGACTTTTGATGAACTCTCTGCTGTCTAACCATCTCTGTAATCATGTGTTATGGTTTGTTTGTGTGTCTGTAGATCCTGGCGTCAGACTGGACTCAAGCAGAGGCTAGTTTTCACCTCTGTGAGGTTCTCTTTAAGGTTCATAAGGTACCAAAACACATTTATCAGTGTTTTATCTGTTTGTCTGTTAATGTTAGGTCGGTTTACAGTACATGCTGGTGATCACAGCGAATGCGCTTCTCCATTCTGAGGAGGCGAGGTGCACCATGCTTTTTTTGTTGACAAGATAGAAAAAGAAGTGTGCTGTGCTTTTTATGTCGCTAGGCAACCACTGAATCAGCTGCTTTTTGTGCGTGAGCGCTGCTGCTGATATTGTTATTATTGTAATATTTAATATATATAATATTATATAATATTATTATTATACATATAATAATATATAATATTGTGATATTCAGAATTTATGAAGTTAAACAGCTCTGGGTAACTCAAAACACCGACCACTAGTCTATCCTTCATCTTTTAAAGCCTCCATAGATGTCTTGACAACACAAACACTGCTATCACCTTAACAGAAACCCCGCCTCTGCTTTCATTTTATAGGTTAATAAAAAAGAAGCAATTGGCGTAGTGTTGCTATGCGATACATCTACAGCCTGAAATTAACGAGAACTAATAATTACATTATTTATTAAATTATCCTTTAATTGTATTTACTTAACACCTGTCCTCACTCCAACCCTCATATTAATGTAAAAACAGTCATTATACCAAGTATTATTGATATTATTTATTCAATTGTCCATTAAATTGTATTTTATTAATGTCTACCCTTAACCCAACCCTCACAGTAATGTAAAAACACTAATTATACAGAGTTTTATTTATAATATTTACTAAATTACCTAATAAATGTTATTTTATTAACACCTACCCCTACCCCAAGCCTCACAGTAATGTAAACTAGATTCTTAAAGTTTGAGAACAAACTTTGAGGCTGGCTTGTGAAAGCCTGACGGTAATAGTTTATTTAGTTTAAACAGTTTTAAAAAGTATGAAAAGATAGATAGATAGATAGATAGATAGATAGATAGATAGATAGATAGATAGATAGATAGATAGATAGATAGATAGATTAGCATGTTATTAGCATGATTTTAACGTGAAATAGCATGTTGTTAGCATGATTCTAGCATGAATTAGCATGTTACTGGCATGATTTTAGCATGAATTAGCATGTTGTTAGCATGATTTTAGTATGAATTAGCACGTTATTAGCATGAATTAGCATGTTGTTAGCATGATTCTAGCATGTTGTTAGCACGATTCTAGCATGAATTAGCATGTTACTAGCATGATTTTAGCATGAATTAGCATGTTGTTAGCATGATTTTAGCATGAATTAGCATGTTACTAGCATGATTTTAGCAATAATTAGCATGTTGTTAGCATGATTTTAACATGAATTAGCATGTTGTTAGCACGATTCTAGCATGAATTAGCATGTTGTTAGCATGATTCTAGCATGAATTATCATGTTGTTAGCATGATTCTAGCATGATTTAGCATGTTACTAGCAAGATTCTAGCATGAATTAGCATGCTACTAGCATGATTCTAGCATAAATTAGCATGTTGTTAGCATGCTTCTAGCATGAATTAGCATGTTACTAGCATGATTCTAGCATGAATTAGCATGTTACTAGCATGATTCTAGCATGAATTAGCATGTTGTTAGCATGATTCTAGCATGAATTAGCATTTCACTAGCATGATTCTAGCATGAATTAGCATGTTGTTAGCATGATTCTAGCATGAATTAGCATGTTGTTAGCATGATTCTAGCATGAATTAGCATGTTCTTAGCATGATTCTAGCATGAATTAGCATGTTGTTAGCATGATTATAGCATGAATTAGCATGTTACTAGCATGATTCTAGCATGAATTAGCATGTTGTTAGCATGATTCTAGCATGAATTAGCATGTTACTAGCATGATTCTAGCATGAATTAGCATATTGTTAGCACAATGCTAGCATGAATTAGCATGATACTAGCATGATTCTAGCATGAATAAGCATGTTACTAGCATGAATCTAGCATGAATTAGCATGTTGTTAGCATGATTCTAGCATGGATTAGCATGTTACTAGCATGATTTTAGCATAAATTAGCATGATTCTAGCATGAATTAGCATGTTGTTAGCATGATTCTAGCATGAATTAGCATGTGACTAGCATGATTCTAGCATGAATTAGCATGTGACTAGCATGATTCTAGCATGAATTAGCATGTAACTAGCATGATTCTAGCATGAATTAGCATGTTGTTAGCATGATAGATAGATAGATAGATAGATAGATAGGTAGAGGTAGATAGATAGATAGATAGATAGATAGATAGATAGATAGATAGATAGATAGATAGATAGATAGATAGATAGATAGATAGATAGATAGATAGACAGATAGATAGACAGATAGATAGATAGATTGATAGATAGATAGAGACAGATAGATAGATAGACAGACAGACAGACAGACAGACAGATAGATAGATAGATAGATAGGTAGAGGTAGATAAAGATAGATAGATAGATAGATAGATAGATAGATAGATAGATAGATAGATAGATAGATAGATAGATAGATAGATAGATAGATAGATAGATAGATAGATAGATAGATAGATAGATAGATAGATGGTGTAAGAGCATGAGTCAAACAAGCCAACCCCCGCCTCTCTACGATGTTCTGATGCTGAGATATAGCTGCTGTTATATCGTTGCTAGGTTAGTCTGTTTTGTTGCTATGGAGTTGATTGACAGCTTAGACTGATGATGTATAAAAGCTTCTTGCCAGTATGAACAGTTAAACACAACCCCCATGTCTCTATCACACTGCAGCATGACAATATCAGTCTGAACCTCTTTAATTGCAGTCTATGGGACAGTTGCTAGGGTGCAGTATCTGGTTGTTAGGGTGTGGCTAGAAAGTTAAAAGGCCATCGGTGATTGGCTGCTGGCTAGACTGAGTTAAATGAGCCTAGCCATTAGTCTGTAGGACAGTCTGATGCAGAGTTATGAGCTCACAAAGTTTGATCCCATGTAAAGTCAATGAGAGTATTTTGCAATGGAAGTCTATGGGACGGTTTCTAGGGTCCAAAAGTGGTTGCTAGGGCGTGGCCAGAAAGTTTAAAGGTGATCAGTCATTGGCAGTTTGATAGTCTGAGTTAAATGAGCCCAGTTAGAAGTCTGTGTGACATTCTGATGCGGAGTTATGAGGTCACAAAGTTTGATCCAATGTTACGTCTATGGGATTTTTCCGACGGTCCCGGGACGTTTTTCGGGAAACCGAAAGTCGGATCAGTCGGAAAGGATATAGCAACTCGAGTCAGAATAGTTCGGAGGTCTGACCCAAGTTTGATGGTCATAGCTTGAATGGCCTAGGACGAGATAGAGTTTAATTTTTAGTCTCAGAAGAAGAATAATATAGAACTAGATTCTTAAAGTTTGAGAACAAACTTTGAGGCTGGCTTGTGAAAGCCTGACGGGAATAGTTTATTTAGTTTAAACAGTTTTAAAAAGTATGAAAAGATAGATAGATAGATAGATAGATAGATAGATAGATAGATAGATTAGCATGTTATTACCATGATTTTAACGTGAAATAGCATGTTGTTAGCATGATTCTAGCATGAATTAGCATGTTACTAGCATGATTTTAGCATGAATTAGCATGTTGTTAGCATGATTTTAGCATGAATTAGCATGTTACTAGCATGATTTTAGCATTAATTAGCATGTTGTTAGCATGATTTTAACATGAATTAGCATGTTGTTAGCACGATTCTAGCATGAATTAGCATGTTACTAGCATGATTTTAGCATGAATTAGCACAATTCTAGCATGAATTAGCATGTTGTTAGCATGATTCTAGCATGATTTAGCATGTTACTAGCAAGATTCTAGCATGAATTAGCATGCTACTAGCATGATTCTAGCATAAATTAGCATGTTGTTAGCATGCTTCTAGCATGAATTAGCATGTTACTAGCATGATTCTAGCATGAATTAGCATGTTGTTAGCATGATTCTAACATGAATTAGCATGTGACTAGCATGATTCTAGCATGAATTAGCACGTTACTAGCATGATTCTAGCATGAATTAGCATGTTGTTAGCATGATTCTAACATGAATTAGCATGTTACTAGCATGATTCTAGCATGAATTAGCATGTTGTTAGCATGATTCTAGCATGAATTAGCATTTCACTAGCATGATTCTAGCATGAATTAGCATGTTGTTAGCATGATTCTAGCATGAATTAGCATGTTGTTAGCATGATTCTAGCATGAATTAGCATGTTGTTAGCATGATTCTAGCATGAATTAGCATGTTACTAGCATGATTCTAGCATGAATTAGCATGTTGTTAGCATGATTCTAGCATGAATTAGCATGTTACTAGCATGATTGTAGCATGAATTAGCATGTTGTTAGCATGATTCTAGCATGAATTAGCATGTTACTAGCATGATTCTAGCATGAATTAGCATGTTGTTAGCACGATGCTAGCATGAATTAGCATGATACTAGCATGATTCTAGCATGAATTAGCATGTTACTAGCATGAATCTAGCATGAATTAGCATGTTGTTAGCATGATTCTAGCATGGATTACCATGTTACTAGCATGATTTTAGCATAAATTAGCATGATTCTAGCATGAATTAGCATGTTGTTAGCATGATTCTAGCATGAATTAGCATGTGACTAGCATGATTCTAGCATGAATTAGCATGTGACTAGCATGATTCTAGCATGAATTAGCATGTAACTAGCATGATTCTAGCATGAATTAGCATGTTGTTAGCATGATAGATAGATAGATAGATAGATAGATAGATAGATAGATAGATAGATAGATAGATAGATAGATGATAGATAGATAGATAGATAGATAGATAGATAGATAGATAGATAGAGGTAGATAGATAGATAGATAGATAGATAGATAGATAGATAGATAGATAGAGACAGACAGACAGACAGACAGACAGACAGACAGACAGACAGACAGACAGATAGATAGATAGATAGATAGATAGATAGATAGATAGGTAGAGGTAGATAGATAAAGGTAGATAGATAGATAGATAGATAGATAGATAGATAGATAGATAGATAGATAGATAGATAGATAGATAGATAGATAGATAGATAGATAAAGGTAGATAGATAGATAGATAGATAGATAGATAGGTAGAGGTAGATAGATAGATAGATGGTGTGCGAGCCTGATTCAAACAAGCCAACCCCCGCCTCTCTACGATGTTCTGATGCTGAGATATAGCTGGTGCCATATCGTTGCTAGGTTAGTCTGTTTTGTTGCTATGGAGTTGATTGACAGCTTAGACTGATGATGTATCAAAGCTTCTTGCCAGTATGAACAGTTAAAAACAACCCCCATGTCTCTATCACAATGCAGCATGACAATATCAGTCTGAACCTCTTTAATGGCAGTCTATGGGACAGTTGCTAGGGTGCAGTATCTAGTTGTTAGGGTGTGGCTAGAAAGTTAAAAGGCAATCAGTGATTGGCTGCTGGCTAGACTGAGTTAAATGAGCTCAGCCATTAGTCTGTAGGACAGTCTGATGCAGAGTTATGAGCTCACAAAGTTTGATCCCATGTAAAGTCAATGAGAGTATTTTGCAATGGAAGTCTATGGGACGGTTTCTAGGGTCCAAAAGTGGTTGCTAGGGCGTGGCCAGAAAGTTTAAAGGTGGTCAGTCATTGGCAGTTTGATAGTCTGAGTTAAATGAGCCCAGTTAGAAGTTTGTGTGACATTCTGATGCGGAGTTATGAGGTCACAAAGTTTGATCCAATGTTACGTCTATGGGATTTTTCCGACGGTCCCGGGACGTTTTTCGGAAAACCGAAAGTCGGATCAGTCGGAAAGGATATAGCAACTCGAGTCAGAATAGTTCGGAGGTCTGACCCGAGTTTGATGGTCATAGCTTGAAAGGCCTAGGACGAGATAGAGTTTAATTTTTAGTCTCAGAAGAAGAATAATAAATATAATAATAAGTTTAATAGGATAACAGTAGTCTGGCTTGCTACACAAGCCAGCCTAATAATAATAATAATAAGTTTAATAGGATAACAGTAGTCTGGCTTGCTACACAAGCCAGCCTAATTAGTAATTTCACAGAGTATTATACATATTATTTTTTAAATTACCCATTAATTGTATTTTATTAAGGCCTGTCTCTCCCTTAAATGTCACAGTAATACAAAAACAGTAATTAAACAGAGTATTATTCATATTATTTATTAAATTACCCAATACATTTTATTTTATTAACACCTACCCCTACCCTAAACCTCACTGTTATGTAAAAATAGTAATTATACCAAGTATTACTCATATTATTTATTACATTTTCCATTAAATTGTATTTTATTAACGCCTGTCCTTACTCCAACCATCACAGTAATGTAGAAACACTAATTATACAATTATTTATATTATTTATTAAATTACCCAAAAAATGTTATTTTATTAACACCTACCCCTACCCCAAGCCTCACAGTAATGTAGAAACACTAATTATACTGAGTATTATTCATCTTATTTAGTAAATGTTCCTTTAAATTGTATTTTATTAACACCTGACCTTACTCCACCCCTCACAGTAATGGAAAAACAGTCATTAAAGGGAGTATAATTCATATTATTTATTAAATTACCCATTAAACTGTATTTTACTATTGTCTGTCCTTACCCCACCCCTAAAAGTAATGTAAAAACAGTAATTTCACAAAGTTTTATACATATTATTTCTAAAATTACCCATTAATTGTATTTTATTAAGGCCTGTCTCTCCCTTAAATGTCACAGTAATACAAAAACAGTTATTATACAGAGTATTATTCATAATATTTATGTAAAAACGTTGTAAAATGTAAAAACGTCCTGGTTACATACATAACACACGTTCCCCGAATAGGGAACGGAGACTTGTGTCTGTATAAACCAGGGGTGGCCAACCCTGTTCCTGGAGAGCCACCTTCCTGCAGATTTCAGTTGCGACCCATATCAAACACACCTGAACCAATTAGTTTGGACCTGAACATCACGTGATAATTACAGGCAGGTGTGTTTGATATCGGTTGCAACTGAAATCTACAGGAAGGTGGCTCTCCAGGAACAGGGTTGGCCACCCCTGGTATAAACAGACTTTGGGAGTGCTTTAGACGACCAATCACTTCTGAAGATATGAAATTGGGCCAATGAAATGCCAATTGAATTGGCGGAGCTTAGCTCCTCAGCTGAAACTGATGAGCCAATTAGGGCTATATCAGTCGGCTGTGTGAGTTAGCTCGTCAGAATTTTGCTTGCTGAAGAGCCGATCGCTCAGCTCCCAGCTGGAGACTCAGGTGCTGTGGCAGTGGAGACACACGTGGGTTACATAGGTAACCAGGACGTTCCCCTTCATAAGGAAACTCCTACGTGTGTCTGTGTAAACAGACGTTGGGAGACTGTATGGAAAGCGCCACAGCAGCCAAAGCCCGTCACGCTCCTGATGTGTAGTTTGCCAAGCTAAAGCGTGAGCGCACTGACATCACCAAGAGCGCAACCTTCCAACGTCCCCTAGGCCCAACATATTACCATTACATTGGAATAAATGTCAATGTTTAATCGGGGGTCGTAAGTGTGCTTTTACCTAGCTATTTTTGGAATTTTTGGATTTTTGGAAATACGACAGTATGTTGGGAAAGCGTCAGTCCCTGCAGGGGGAGGACGCAGCGGAGACCACCTGCTACCCAGAAGGGTAGACCTGATGGTAAAGAGGCATATGGACTAGCCCTAATGAGATGGAGTGTTACATATGATAAGCTGGTTGGTGGTTTAGGGAAGACACGGGACCGCCTAATAAGGGGGAACACACAGTGGTAATAATGCATAAGGCATCACCAGGTGGGGATGCACATAGCTGGCACCGATCCTCAATATGCGTGTAGACCAAAACTGGGCGTATCAACTGTATGCCTTTAAGACTTTACCTGGTTTTTCTGCTCAGCCTTGACTTTTTTTTATCTGCAAACAGCACATTCAGTGTGGTCAATACTGTAGACTCCTAATAATGAGGCTTTGATTAGCAAAAAAAAATCTAATTCACAAAGAAAAACTGAATGATGTGTTTGTGTTGTGTGTGTTTGTAGCTGTGGATAGCGGAGGACTGCTGGATTCAGACCAAGCTTTATATGGGGCTCCAGCAGGACGGGGAGCTGCGGGACAGTGAACCCTTCTGCTTCAGTGTGCTGCTGGGTCACGGCCAGAGCTTCTGCTTCAGCGTGGAGCTGGGCTCGGACCTGGTGCTGTGGGAGAAAGCCTTCCAGAGAGCCGTCTTCATGGAGGTGCAGAGAGTACGGGTGAGTCCAGAAACATCCACTCACACATTCACACACACTCATACACTACGGACAATTTAGCCTTCTCAATTCACCTGTACCGCATGTCTTTGGACTGTGGGGCAAACCTGCGCGAAAGCAGGGAGAACATGCAAACTCCTCACAGAAACGCCTACTGAGCCAAGGCTCGAACCAGCGACCTTCTTGCTGTGAGGCGACAGCACTACCTACTCCGCCACTGCTCCGCCCGCTATGCAGATGACTTACAATTATATTTTTCTTTTAGCCCTGACAGGCTGGACAAACTGTCTCTCTTGCAGGACTGTTTAGTCTTCATTAACAAATGGATGGCAGACAACTGACTGCAACTGAACCCTGATAAAACAGAAATGTTAATTTTTCACCCCAATGATCAGGCAAGTTTTGGGGGGTTTGTCATCTTCACATTGCAGTCATATTAGAAATCTTGGAGTCATTTTTGATCGAGCTCTGTGTTTTAATAGCCATGTTAAATCTGTTGTTCGTACATGCTTTTTTTCACCTGAGGAACATCGCAAAAACAAGAGATATTGTGTCAAATGAAGAGATGAAGATGCTTGTCCATGCCTTCATCAGATTGGATTATTGTAATGTTCTGTTCACTTGTTTAGGAAAAAGGAATTTATTTTTAATTACTTTTGTGTCTTTATTTTTTTATTAGAAAAAAGTTTAGACTAACAACATATTAATCAATCTTTTCTATTGTATTATAGCACATCTTGACCAGACACACTTCCTCTTATTTTTCTGTGCTGCATACTTTTTAGAAGAAACTGCTGACTAGTGGAAAAAGCAGAATAAGAATAAATTTAGGTTTGTTCCAGACTGCTGTCTAGACATGTCACAAGTTGTCATGATCTTTGTAGAAGTTGTGAAATATATTAAAGATGCTCATAATTGTTCAGTTCCGGTATGCAGAGAAGGGTTGCAGAGAGAGGAAGTATGTCTAGGGCAGGGGTTTTCAAAGTGTGAGGCGCGCCTCCCCTGGGGGGCGCCAGAGCATGTCAGGGGAGGCGCGGGAAAAAATATAAAATAATAAAAATATAATTATTAAGTTTAATTATTATATGTATTTTTTTTATATTTAAACGTTTTAATTAAACAAAGCAAAAAAAATAATACGTCAAATATAAGAAAACCTTTTTTACCCAGAAGGCCATAGCTGTGAATTCGCTTCTGTTTGGCAAGCCCGCTAATACAGGTATATGCCTGCTAATACACTGGATCGGTTTCTGAGACGCCCTGATTCAAAGCTGTAATGAAGTTTACGGCCCTTTGGCCGCCGGGAAGAAGGAGGCGGAGAACCGAAGCAGTTTTAAAGTGATTTATTAATGACAGTGACGGCAGCTCCTCACGGAGGCTGCCGTCTAAACCAAAACAAACGGACGGCAGCTTCTCACGGAGACTGCCGTCAAACTGAAAGCAAAAGTAAAATATGTCCGGGTCCGGTCCTCTCTCGGGTTCCTCTGCCCACGTTCCTCCTTTTATGATCCAGAGCTCCTTCCCTGGGATCTGAGGCAGGTGCGCACCGCAGGTGTATCCACTTACGCGGTGGCCTCACTCCGTTTCCACGGCTCTCGGCCACGCCCCCTCGCCACAAAAGCCTTCAAGTTCAGGGCTTAAACCCAAAAGACGACGATATGATGATCAGTATTTGTGTTTAGGATTTATGTGGACAGGACCAGCTGATGAACCACGACCTTTATGTGTGGTTTGTCAAAATATTTTGGCTAATGACAGCATGAGACCCGCTAAACTTTGACTGTTTTGACTGGGATGGACAGTTCTTGGATCTGTTCTATTTATATTGAACCATCATCCTAGTTTTAAAAACGTTATATTACAATACTTGTTATTACTCTGTAAATAATTGCACTTTCATGCAAATGATTATAATAGTGAGTTAACAGTCTGACATCTGTCTGTGTCTTTATATATATATATATATATATATATATATATATATATATATAAATATATATATGTGTGTGTGTGCGTGTGCGTGCGTGTTTAGGAGGAGGGGGGCGACAATGGATAAGTTGTGTCAAAAGGGAGGCCCACTGTCTTAGTCTTTGAAAAACCCTGGTCTAGGGGTTACAAAGAGCCAAGGGACTGCAGAATGACTGATCAGTGACGTTAAACCAAAACTCCACCTGTTATTATCAGTTGTGTATATATGCTGGATTCAGGAAATGTAAGTTAGTTGCGAACCTCTTGAATGTAATTCTTGTATTGCATTGGGGTAACGTAACCCAGAGCTCTGTCATCGAATTATTCATTTGAATCTAATAAATGACTTATATTTTTGGCATTGAAGAAAACACTCTCCAGACCTTTTCTTATTGATCATGCATGGAATTGGCTTGATATTCCAACAATTGTCTGAACAAATCACATTTGGGGTTTTTAACCGACCCCAGTAGGAGGTCACACATTACACCTGTGCTTAAGGCACTTCACTGGCTTCCTATCAGTTTTAGAGTAAATTTTAAGATTCTGGTCATATAGAGCATGGTCAAGCATCCCTGCATATTCATTTTGAACGAATCTTCAATATGACTCGGGAAGTACGAGTCCTCTCAGGGAGTGATTCGTTTATCCGTGCGTGCGCACATTTGTGCAGGTGGCATCGTTCATTTCAAGTCTTTTGAGTCGTTCATCGCGAAAAGGCAGAAGCCAATCATGCGTTTAGAGCCGGAGAAAGAATTGATCCGCTCATCTCTCGAGTCCTCAATCGGGTTTGAGTCATTCGTTCATCACGGGCCGATCATATGCGTTTAGAGTCGGAAAAAGAATTGATCCGTTCATCTCTCTAGTCCTCTATCGGTTTGAATCATTCGTTCCTCACGGGCCAATCATACGCGTTTAGAGCTGGAAAAAGAATTTAACCGTTCATCTCTCGAGTCCTCGGGTTTGAGTCATTCTGTCACGAGATGAACAAACGACTCAATAACCAGAAGACTCGAAAGGTGAACTAATCATCATGGCTCCTATTGGCTCAGACTGTGTACATTGACTAAGATTATATTTGACTGGCAGTGTAACGTGAACACTGAGCAAAGAGACAACAATAACTTCACAGACAAAAGAGCAGGGAAAGTATTCTATTTATGACTTATTTGTCTTGTGAGCAACCTTTTGGGCTAGTTGAAGATGTGTTTGGAAGCAAATCGTAACATTTTAATAATATTTTGGCAAATTGAACCAAATGAACGAAATGACTCAAAGATTCGTTCATCTTGATGAACGAGACTCAAAGATCCGAGTCAGTAAAATGATCCAAACTTCCCATCACTCTCATGCAGCCGGTCTCTGAGGTCTTCTGGCAAAGACCTTTTAACCATTCCCAGAACTCGTCTTGAGACTAAAGGGGACCGCGCCTTCTGTGTAGTGACCCCACGGCTCTGGAACGCTCTCCCGATAGCACTGAGAACTCTGGGATCAGTTGAACTTTTTGGTCAAGCTTTTAATTAACAGTAATAGTGTTTCTGTATTTGATTTTTTAAATTTGTTTTAATGTTTTAACATGTTTTTCTTTTATTGTCATGTGATCTTTTACTTGTTTTCTCTTATTGTAAAGCACTTTGTGACTCGATGTCTGGAAAATGTGCTTTATAAATAAACCTTGGTCCCACTTTATATTAAGTGTCCCTAACTACTATGTACTTACATCAAAAAAATAACTACAGTGTACTTACTGTGTTTATAATGTATTAGAGAACACTTGTGGTGCTTTTGAGTTGGGATAGAGGTTGGGTTATGGACAGGTTTGGTGGTATGGGTAGGTTTAAGGGTGGGTTAAGGTGTAAGGGATGGTCAACAGTGTATTTACAAATGTAATTACAAAAGTTAATTATAGATGTAATTAAATATATGCATTTAATCAAGCATAAGTACAGAGTAAATACATGTATTTACACAATAAGTACATTGTAACAAACTATGAATTCCTATGTAAGTACATATTAGTTAAGGCCACTTAATATAAAGTGGGACCTAAACCTTTACTTACTTACTTACTTACATAATTCGTAATCTCCAGAAACATATACAGGAGTATGTTTTCAGTATGAGCTTGTGTTTATATTTATACAATAGGTTCTCTTTAAACAAGTGAATGCCTGAACACAATCATTACATTACAGTAATACAAATAAAGCAGAATTTGTACGCTTAGCTTGCATTACAGTAACAAGAAACTGCCTCATAATTTCAATCGTATCCCGTCAATCAGCATTACAGCTTTAAAGTGACACCAGAAGAGATTCAACACAAAGGAAAAGCAGCGTATGACAAGTGAAGCATTGATTTCTGCATCTGTCAGCAGGGCGTGCGTGGCCGTGTCTGATTTGTGCGTTTCAAATGTTATTACTGCTTTAATTAAATTCCTCAGAGTCTGTGTGTGTGTTTTTTTCCTGTGAAACCTCTCCTCGCTGAGCCGTTAAATTACCTAAAGGTCTGCCGCATCTCTGCCACCGCAATGAACTCCTGCAGGGCGTCTATTATGAAGTATATGCTAACATAAGTTCATGGGATGAAGGGGATTTAAGGCTCAGCGGCTCCGGAGACTTGCGTTACTCACATTTAAGTCGTCTTAAACACCACCCGGGGGTCAAATGCGGTGCTGCGGATGTATAAACGGCCCTGTGACACACACAGATCTCCAATCTGCAAGTGTGCATTACTGTGAGATGTTTATTTATGGCTCATGAGCATTATGTAGCGTTAGCGCTCTGCTGGCGGTGTTTAATCAAGGCTGATTCGCTCATATTTTGGCTTAGCGGAGCAGATTAGTGGCTCTCTGGATATCATAGTTCATGAAAGACATCATCTAACATGGTGATAACGCTTTATTTGAGGGTAATTGAGAGTGTAAAGGTCACAAATAGAAATGCTTCAATGGTGACGTGCTGGCGAGTTATGGCAGAGGTGTTTACTGTGTGTCTATTTGATCTTTATTTCCAGGCCGGATTTAAATGGCT